TCTGAAAAAAGAAAAATCAGATACTTGAGGAACATGCTTTTTTACGGATTATCTGTTACAGATGCAGAATACATTTTTTATTAATCTAAATCTGTTCTGGCCTTTATGTTTCTGCATCTATCATGGGATCTGAGAGCATCTGTTATTCCCTGGGTACAAATGCATGTGCCTGGGTCCACACCAGCACAAGCATTACTCATTTTGTGTGTATTATTTCCAAGGAGGAAGACATTTAAAGGAATGGTCTGGAGGACAATCACAGAATATTTCTCTCTTGGCACCAAAAACCTAAATGTGCTTAACCTGGCCTTCCAATTCAGGGACTATTTCCTAATCATGGGAAACTTATTAGAATTAATGCTTGCAAACTGTGGATTACTATACTGCTACTTCTAACACAGAAATATAAATTTTCTGTCATATGTATTACTGCATAAATATATATATATATATATATATAATTAATATATTGTTTCTCTGGCCAGAGTAAATGTACAATGATAATACAAGGTAATGGTAAAATAATTTTATTGATAATTTTATTGATATTTTTATTTTATTTATAATTTTATCTTTTATTTAAGATCAATAAAATTCTGGAAGTGAATTCAGAGAACTTTTGCATGACTGCCTTAGTATTGCTATATAAAAGGAACACAAATAATTTGTGTCACAGTAAAGAGATGATAAGCACACAAGTCTGAAAAGCATCACTTCCCAAGACATACCAATAAGCCAACTATCTAGAATTGGTGGGTTCTAAGAGATACTAACACTATGAGAGCCTAAAAAAAGAAATGTTTTAGCAAAAATATAGACAAGAGTTGCTCAGACCTCGGATTCAGGTTGAGAAACCAAGTACCTATGGAATGCCAATTACACTGTGAGCCATCATATAGCAGAAAGAAATGATGAGAGTAGCAACAGTATGTTACCAACAGATTCCAAAAAACACAATTTCATAGGCTGCTTTCAGATGACTGAATATAGATGGGCAAAGGTCATTCATAACAGGGATCCAAAGGCACTTGCACTGATCAAATAATTTATTTCATATACTGGTAGCTACAGAATCTGATTTTCAGACAGAAAGGGACATTATCATATGGATCTTGACACTGTAAATGTAATCAAGGGATTGAAAGGAAAATGGGAATATAAGAAGCTCTAGAACAAATGAAGTTAAAAGTGCAATTTTACCTACTGTTATTGTAACAACACATATTTTCATCAGACTTTTAACCTTGCATAAGGTTTATTTCCCAGCTGGTATGCACTAAGTGTCTTGCAACATCACAGTCCATGGGAAAAGGACCTGACTGCTCATATACAAGACAACCAAGCGAGATGATTTTTACTATGACTGCAGTCAACATTTATTTCTGCAGTTCAGAAGTGGTAAGGACTAGCACAAAATAGAAACAGCAGAAGTATCTATTTCCTCCCACTACTCTACTCTTGGGGAAGTATTTAGCTTAATAATTTATGAATATTCATCGTTTCCTTAGATATTGACTAAAGCACAGGATATCCATGTCTAAGATAACCAAAGTGTCAAAGCCTAAGGCTACATTGTTAGTAATTTCCATTGGCAATACTGAATTCAGGGACCACCATAAAGTTACTGCTTCAGAAAGAATCAATTTTTAGTACAGCTTTTTTCAGATATTGACAGTGACAGAATCTTTCAACTGTACATCATAATTCAGAGCTGCTCTAGTAGTATGAATATAATTTAGCAAAAGCTAGCCTCTGTGAGATGAATACCATATTTCAAATATGACACCATATCATATTTTAAAACTGAACACAGTCACAGCTTTCCTACTGATAGGGGTTTCAACAAACATGAAGTAAGCTGTATCACTTCTTGAGACATGTTTATTTAGCATCAACTCCCACAGAATACTCTTGCAGTGCTTCCTGATTCCTGTATCTAGCTCTATGAGCCAAAGGGACATATTTTTCTAGAGTTGTGGTCACCAGAAACTAAGACAGAAATTGTTGGAGAGCCTGAGTAAAATTTGAATTTATGCAAATTCTATTCAGTTACCACATGCCAGTAGAGAGCCATGTGAATTTTCACAAACACAATCAAGTTTTGCATGACACAAGTAAACAAAAGAGATTTCCTCTACACAAATACTAATGGAAGACACAAATACATAAATCTTTTGGACAAACAGACAATCAATTATGAGGTTTTTTTATATTACCAGCCCATGGTAAGTTTTTCTTGAAAACACTGTAAAGATAACATAGGTAAGATAAAATCTTGATCTCTATAGGACAATAGATGATTTCCTGCAATAAACTGACAGGCTACAGTCTAGGACTTACCACTGTGAAAAACATTTTAAGCAGTTCTTTCTTATCACCCAAATCATTCTGACCCAGTTAATGCAGAAGTGTCACAATTGCAATGCTTAAAATGTAAACTCAAACTACATGTTTTCTTCATTCTCTTCCAACACTCAGAAACATGTTAATTCTTTCCCAGTTTGTAAATAGATATGAAATTGTCTCAGGTCAACATTGTACATGGTACTTTTTTGGAAAACAAACCATAAGTATATCCCTTATATTTTTTTTAATTATTGAAGGTGAAAAATACCATAATGAATACAGATAGAACAACATTCCAAAAGGACAGAGACTCCCTAAGACATGCAAACCAACGCAGGATTTGTGGTAGAAATAGCAGAAGAGGTTTCCACAGTAGTGATTCAGTCATTATATGACTGTGAACTGCTATTCTGCTCACATTAGTGAATTATGCTGCCGTTAGAATCATTCAGTGGCTGGATCTGTCTTGGGGGTCATTTATTTCATGGCTGGGCTATTACCACAATTTATATAGCAGACATACCTGCTTTTACCTCATTCAGATAAGAAAGCAGGCTTTAAACAGTTTTGTAACCTGAAACCATCATCCATTCTAGCACCTAAACCTTTCATGTGCAGAACTAAATACTGTACTGAACTGCTATTTTTAATGCTCTGATGAGAGTAATAAGACACCACCTCACAAACTCTAACTGGTTTGTCCTCTAAGGGGCATGTACTTGAGTAAGGATAGAAAAACCAGATTCTAAATTGATCCTGAGTTAAGGCTAAACAGCAGGAATCAAATCCATTTGTAGGTGAAGTCAAGACTTAGATTTTCATCTGATTATGTAAATATCATGGGGTCTTACAGATGCTTTAGACACCCTCTTAGACTACTTGTTCTCTTCAGAGATACAAACACATTTGTATGCAGACCAATTTTCTCAAAAGAGGAACAACTTGGCTATGTCTATGGTTGCAGAGTTACCTTACACTCAACCATCATAGAGATTGCTTCATGAATCTTTTACTCTGCAGAAAATTACTTGGGGAAGTAAACACAACCTCTCTCCTCACTCTTCCTCAGCACCTGTGCAAAAAAGACCTTCCACTCCATTATTTTCTGCTCATACATGATTTTTTTTTTCCGTTCAGTAAATATCTGTTTGAAGGAATATTATTTAGGGAGTCTTACAGAGTACCAGCCTCTTGACTGGATCCACTGATTTGCCTCATGCATGCACATATTTGACCAAAATTGCGTAAGCTTTAGCTCTGAAGACCAAATAGCAAAGTCCCTTCTTTTGGAAGCCCTATATATTTTTAGAATTTTTGCTTTCAGAGGAAGGACATATTTAACAGGGGGCACATAAAGGAGCTACAGTTCCTGCTCGACCCCATTTGCTCTGCACAGATTGATGTGCTCTCCATGTCATATTACAGAGGATGTGTTGTGCTGTTCAATAGCACCCTTATTCACATCCTGAATGCATCCAGTCCGGCTGTATAGCAGTACTGTGTGAACAGATTGCTTTCATGACAGTTTTGAAACTCAGAGGGAGCCAGTTTGAATTGCAATTTTATTTTTAACCATCCTACAAGGGATGTCTACAATCTAAGACACAACTGTCTCCAACATGATGCCAGTGTAAATAAGTGGACGCTTCTGAATGGTTACCTTATATAGCTTTAAAGGGCAAGCCATGATCCTGGAGACATTCAGACATCAGAGACATTCAGAGTCCTAGTGCCCAGTTTGAAAAAAAAAAAACATGCCTTTTTTTAAGTTCCCATCTTCTTTGTGTTGTAGTAACTACATAAAAACGTGATGAATTCAAGAAACTGCTCCAAAAACTATATGGAAGTATTCACATTCAGCTTAATTCTGGATTCCTGGATAACCAGTGTAGTATGACTCAGAGGACTGGATAAGCTTCCCAATCATCTGTTTCACAAAAGTACTTCAAGTACTTTTTAAACATTTTCAACTACAATTGTGTGATTATTTTAGCCCTTTGCACTTGCACTGTGAAATGCTCAAATTAAACAAGACCAATTAAGCACATTCTTTTTGTACAGGATGATACTTATCTCAAGTGGTGTAATTGGTACTTTGGTTATGTGTACACTGTGTAATGCAGTGCAATACAGAGATATGCAGCCTAACAGGAAAGAACACAATCACGGTAATTACAACAAGAGTGCAGACAATGTGGAAGGGAGGAGAACTTCGGGCAAAATTAACTTCCGGAACAAAACCTTCTTTAGCATCCACACTTGGGCTCCTCTAAACAGCTTTAGAATATTTTTACTAGTGAATAAATCAAAGTGGCATGCAGTAATTGTCTTTGATAGATAAGAAAAAAATGTCTGTATTTCATTACTGGGTCCTACTACAGCAGATTCATTTTAATCAACCATTTCCAGTCTCCTTTACTAGGCAGAAACCCACACCTTCCAGAATAAATGGCCACCTGATTACACAGTCTCTATGGCCTTATAGCTCTGTCCAGGTAGTTATTATCCTATCAAGGATCCCATAACAACTTTCTTTGGTCACAAAATGGCCACCAAGTAAAGCCATTCACTTAAATGAACACATTTTGGTTCAAAGCAAGATGCAATGAACTTTCACACTCCATCTTAATCTATCTATGTTGAAGGATACTCACAAGGGACTCCCAACTTCTTTAGCCACATGTTGTATTCTCCACTGGATTAAGGCTCCTACAAATTGAAATCCACTTTTCACTTGGGGAAAAGTTCAGTGAAATCCAAAGATGTTGTCAGGACAGAATAGGAAAGATGAAATAAATGAATCACATGGAAATAAGATCACGTGCACCAACTACATGTATGCAAGAAGGGCCAGACACCATGTAATTTATCTCCTTTTTTGAAAAAGCACATGGACTCATTCAGCAGCTATGCTGCATCCTGCTAGAGGTAATATCATATAGGAGAAAAGAAAACAGCATCCTGGAGAAGAATTTCTGAGAAATGCAAGGAGTTAGAAATGAGCTACAAATTGCTTAGGTAATAAGGAACCAAATTATTACACTAGTTAATCTTGTGATTATAGACTGATTTAAGAATTTCTGATAAGTATTACTATTAGTCAGCAATGCAGCCATATACAGTATTTCATTTTCTTTAGAAAAGATGAAACTCTAAGAGGTTAATGCTCTTTCTAATTTATGGAAATTTAACTGCTTGCCTCTTGTTACTTTTAGTAGTCATGTGGTTTAATCCCTTTCCTCATTTTAAAGAAACAAAAATAGAGAATTTTTTAATAATTCAATTCTTAATATCTCTCATGACAAAACTCCCCATTTTGTTGACATCTTGGGTTTTGTCTCATACTACAAAAAACACTCAGTTACCCATATCAGGTTATACTAAGATGATGAGTGTGCCATCCACTGTAGGATGATGACAATGGTCCTTTGTGCTGCCTTCTTCAAATTATGTTTCTGCTGGCTCATTTGATTTATTCTAGATTTTTAAATATTTTCCCCCAAAAATTTCCATTTTACATAGAATGTTAACTTAAATGTTGCAAAGATACTTTTTTTTTGTGGGGGAGTAAAAAGGAGGAAAAATATATCAGCCATATCACAAAGCAAAGCTAATATTAGTGGTGTGAATATGAGAGAAGACAGTGGCAATGTTAAACAATAGTCTGTTACAAAGTATAAATCAAAATTTATATAATTTTATTATGACTCTAGCAGACGGTCACTTCTCACATAATTGATGGAGCATGGAGCCTGTTTTGCATTGGAGTCCCTGCCTACTCTATGGAATGTTCTTTTGAGGGCACCCTCAGAAAACTAGCTTGAGACACCAAGCTGTGTGCTGCAGTTGACAGGCTGGAGGGAAGGGATGCTATCCAGAAGGACCTTGGACAGTCTTGAAAGGTGGACCTGTGAGAGCCCCACAAAGTTCAACAAGGCCAACTGCAAGGTCCTGCACCTGGGCTGGGACAATTCAAAGCACAAGTACAGGCTAGGCAAGAATGGATTGAGAGGAGTCCTGAGGAAAAGAATTTGGGAGTGCTTGTCAATGAGGAGTTTGACATGACCTTATAACATGTGCTTGCAGTCCAGAAAGCCAATCACATTGTGGGCTTCATCAAAAGCAGAGTGGCCAACAGGTCAAGGAAGGTGACTCTACCTGTTTTGTTCTTCTGAAATGCCATCTGGGGTGCTGCATCCAGCTCTGGGGTCCTCAGCATAAGGACATGGACCTGCAGGAGCAAGTGCAAAGGAAGTCCATGAAGGTAAGAGGGCAGGAGTACCTTTCCAATGAAGACAGGTTGAGAGAGTTGGGGTTGTTCAGGTTAGAAAACAGAAGACTCCAGGGAGGCCTGAGAACAGCCTTCTAGTGCTTAAAAAGGGCCTAGAAGAGAGACAGAGAGGGACCTTTTACATGGGCATGTTCTGATGGGACAAGAGGGAAAGGCTCCAAATGGACAGAAAGTAGGTTTACATTTGGTATTAGGAAGCAATTCTTTACTGTGAGGGTGATGATCACTGGCACAAGCTGCCTAGAAATGCTGTGGATGCCCCATACCTAGAAGTGTTCAAGGCCAGGTTAGATGAGTCACCTGGCCTTATGGAAGGTGCTCTGCCCCTCCCTGGCAGGGGGACTAGAACTAGGTGATCTTGAAGGTCCTTCCAATGCAAACCATTCTGTGATTCTATGAAAAAAATACTATTGACCTTTTCTTTAAGAATACTTAGACAACAATACTTTTCTACAGGGTTTCTGAGATGTTATTCCACAATTATATATAACCAAGGTGTTTGACAAAGATTGTAGCCTATTTCATTCAATAGTTTAATGCCAGGTCAGCTAAAAGCCACAGGACTTTGCACAACTGAACAATGGGTCTTGCTAGAACCTTCTAAAAGTACAGGGGCCAACATTCTTTCTTAAACAATTAAAATAATTACTGATCACAACGCTCACATACAGTGAAGTATATAATACAATGTCTTTAAATATGTTACAATTAACTATTGTAACTCAATGCATTTTTCTGGGAAGTCTTATGACATTGTGTAGACTTGAACATACACGACTGACAACAGAAACTGAGAACCTAATAGATACCAATTTTAAAAAATCAGTAGTGCTTAAATGGTATATTTAGGTGTTTAAGTGGGTAGGTGACACTCTGAAGACACTGAGAGTTTAAAATTTTGCATTAAAAAGGAGTGGGTTTTAGAGCATTTTAGTAACATCCAAGAGCTTTTTTCTTTACTATTAATGCACCATGGTCCAATTATAGTGAAAGCACAATTAGCAGTAATTCAACAAGAGTTTTCACAAACCCTTCTTAAAACACACATCCCATTTGCTGGTCCTCATTTCTCCCTTTTTCCTTAATTAGCTCCCTCCAGTTACACAGAATTATTTGACTGATAGAATTAATGTAAGAAGTTTTGCTATCTGTTTAACCCAGCCTTGTCACTGTAACAAAACAAAACCAAAGAGTTTAACTCCCATAGAAATGAATGCATTTTCTGTGTGATTAGGTCCCTGCCTAGCTTCCTCCTTTTCTTTTTCAGATGAACTTTTACACCTGTTACCTCTTCTGATAGGCAACAAATGGGAAAAAAAGTAAGTTTTTAAAAAAATTGAATTAAGGGAATAGGTAAGAAATCACACAGGTGAAAAGCAGTTAGGTTGAGATGTGTTGTGTTTTGTGGGTTACTACAAATGCTTTAAGCTATGTTCTACTAAACAATCCAAAACCTTAAGATTTTTTTTTGCATTTAGATCTGTTGAGAACTGGGACCAGAAAAACAGGAGTTAAATGGCCAGGAAGCAGGTACAGCTGAGACCCTGTAATCCAACAGCCAGTACTGATACCTTGTTGAGAGCATACTATATAAGAGAACAAGCTACCTGGTAAGAAAGGATGCAGCTTTTTTCATAGAGTAACAGCTTTTTGACCTACTTTGGGTTTGTGGAGGGTTTTTTCTGACCTGCAATGGTAAGAATTTTTATTGGGAGTTGTTTGTTTTCTTAATCTGCTGGCACGTGTAATTTAATAAGAGGGTTTTATTCCCTTTTGCTCTGAGTAAAGTGTAAGAATAAGGAGCTTGTCTTACAATAGCTGGTGTATTTATCTTTTTGCTGAGAAAACAACAACTGCTGATTAGCAGAGGTATTAGCTAAGTTGTTTTGAGATCAAGTACTATAAAGTATGTTAAAAAAAATAAATTGAATGTAAGGGAGCTAACTGGCAAGATCTGGGTTACTTGAAATTATTTGGCTCTAAGCATAACACAAAATTGTTAGTGCCCTGAGGCATCTTGTATTTAGTGATCCTAAGCTTAGAATATATTTTTAAATAGAACAGGTAATTATCAAATTGTTCTCTTGTGAAAATATAGAATAACAGGTAAAGGGGATGAAGAGAGACACTGTCCTATAATTTCTCACCAATGCAACACAAATATTCTTCTGCTGTTTGTTGAAAAAGGTGGCATTGTAAACTGAAGACAGTTGTTAGTCTCTAAACCGGAAAATTTATCTCCCTGGATGTGGAGATTTGCATCTGTGTAGTCCTGCATGAGCTTCTGGATGACTTTGGCTTTTTGTGTGGTACTGTTTTTTAGGGTTTTGTTTTTTGTTGGTGGGTTGTTTTCTGTTTTGGTTTTCTTGTTGTTGTTAGGTTGTTTTTTTTGTGTTGTTGGCTGGGGATGTTTTTTAAGAGCTTTTCTTGTTTTGGCGTATTCAGGATTTTTTTCTGAAGAAGGTATATGATATTTTTTTTAAAGCCATCTTGGCTAGCTGGTACTACTGACTGTTACCTGAGGAGTCCCTAGGAGGGGTGCCATATGAGCTCACAAGACAGAGGCAGCATCTGTGTATTTTGGTCAGTATATTAGGAAAAAAAGAGTGCTTAAAGCTTGGATTGTGCTGCTAACTAAGTTAGTGGCATATAAAGCTGTCAGACTACTGTAAGTAGGTGATCAAATGCAGTTTCATTATACTCAAGAATATCCCTAAGAGCTGTGAGCATTTGTGGCTTGTGAAAAGTAGTGTATCTCTACAGAGACAAAGCTTAAACTTACAAAATCTCAACAGGGAGCAGTGATGATGCTAAAGACAAAATCCTACTGTGAAAGAAATACTCATTACTTTTTGGGGCTATTAAGTAAGCTCCTTGAAGTTGAGGAAGCATGTCAGGCTTATCCTGTGGTGTGAAATGTCTTTTGGACACATTGTATTTGCAGCTTCCCAGTGGAATCCGTCCTATTTGTGTTACTGCACTAAGAGCAGATTCAACTTTGTGAAAGGAGCAGAAAGCCCAAGACTACAGCATCAAGGAGAAATGCCAGGCTCTGCCTTCTCCCACCACCATCCCAGTGAGCAAAGGGTTTCCCAATACAGAGCATAAGCCTGCCTTAGCCAGTCATTGTCTTTTCACATGCTCTGCTCATGGGCCAGGGCTTTAGACAGATTTTCCTGCTGTGGCACTTGTTTATGGTAGCTTATAGTAAAGAGGCAGATGAAAGGTGGATGAGATCACAGAAAACAGAGTAGGATGTTTCCTCAGTGCTCCCTATGTTGTGCAATGGCATGGCATAGCAATTCCAGGTGGGCATCACAGCTGACTAGTTCCAGACTTGAAAGAGTAGAGCTGTGGCAGCTTCAGTGCTGTACCTGAATTAATTAGTCATGCTTATAGACAGAAAGGGTAACTTATTTGGGAACAGACTGTGCTAATGCTACACAGCCCTAGGCACTGAAGCTGTTAGCTGGGAATGGCATGGTGAGAATATGTGGTATTTTGTGTTACTAGCTAGCACAAGTTTACTGTACTGCTACACTAGAAGCCATATGGAGGGGAAACATCTGAGCAGGTCTGAGGGAAGAATTTTAAATATGAACAGAAGTCCAAAGTTGATGTTATACTTTAGTATTGCCTTTAAGACTTACATTAAACCCAGTTTTTGTTCCTTTTAATGCTTTGTGGTAGCCAGAGTGCCCAGAAAAATACAAAAAGAAAGGCTTCTTACAGAAGATGCTAAATGTAATCGGACTGTTTACCCTAAACCATATACTCAATCCTCACATTTAGAGACTCTCACAGCAATGATGGCTACAAAAGTTATGATTTGCAAATGGTTTATTGGAAAATGTAGACTACTGCCCCTCAGAATGTTAAAGCACAAAACCGAATTTACCCTGCCCCTCAAGAATCTTGCCTGTCAGTTATAGCCAGCAATTCTGTGTCTCTCAGATAACAGAAATATGATCAATTCTCCCAACAGAGCTGCTGAGTTCCTGACTCACTCTTAAGCCAGAGTGACTCAGAGCCACAATATTCTAACTCCTCACCACATTATTTGTCGGGGGAGGAAGCCAAAGCACATGTACTACCTAAAATGTTAATACCATCAGCCAGAACTTAGGGGATGCATATTATTTCATTATCTGTATTGACTGTTGCCCTAATATCCAGTTACAGCAGAATGTGTCTTGCTCTTGATGTGAGGAAACTGTCCCATAAAAACAGGTTCCTGAGGTTCTGACACTGAAGACTGGGAGATTGTGTGTACTAATATGAAAGACATGCTGGTCTTGGAGCTACTAACAGTAAAGCAACGTATGAAGGGTTTGTCTTGCTGATAAACATGTTTATCAACTTATTCTTCTTGCATATCAGAAATATGGAACCTCACAGGGGCTATCTGCCAATTTTGATTTAAAATTACTTGCTGTTAGATTACTTTTATTTTTATGTATCAGACCAAAACTTTCCTTTTTCATTTATTGCCTCCAGTGGCACCAACTTAACTTGATAATCTTTGTTCCTCCTTACCTGTATGCAGTATTTTGTACATATGCAGGCAAGAGTTTTAAGTGAAAATTATAAATTAAGAGAATCAGAATACCTATATATGACAAAAAATACAGTACCTAGATTGCCTGGGTCAATGTATCCTGGCTCTAATAGTTGACCAGAAATAAAACTGGATTAGATTTACTACCTCTATGGTTTACTTTCACAAGGGAAAACATTGTTTTGGACAGATATTCACATTAGCAGCCTTTTATTGGTAGATCCTTGCAGGAAAACTCCTAACTTCCTGGGATCATGCATTCAGATGAACTGTGCCTCACTGTGCTTCAAACATACACAGCTGTACTTCCAAGTAAACCAGGCAACTTACAACAGTATGTCTATGGCCATCTGTAAAACTTAACTAGTGCTTATGGCAAATGGTCCTACATAAATTGCACTTCTGTACAACCACAGGGCTAACAAGTAATTTCAATGCAGAATAGTGTAGATGTTCTGTGTTCTAAGCACTCATAATTTATGTGATCAGAATGGTTTCCCTGTATTCAAATTAGAGCAGGAAGAAAGGGTTTGGCTTGCAATAAAATACTATTGCCACCATAAAATCAGTCTACTGCTAGCTGCCAGATCTAAATAATAGTGGTTCAAATGCTGGATTATATATAAATTACAGCAGTATCAAACTGTCGGTTTACACTCTTGTCAAGAGCAGTTATTGCAAGGCTCACTGAATTGGTGCCTAACTAATATAATTTATCTTCTAAAATATTTATCTAACTTTAAGTCCTTCACAGAAAGACTACTGTGTATCTTTACCCATACTCCTTTTTAAACATTCACAACACAAAGAATCCTGAAGCCTCTAGGCTGTCTCAGGAAATACATGACCTGCAATATTCTGATCAATTTTCTTCCAGTTATGATTTCCCCTCCACCCTGTGATGTATTCTTTCATTTATCCTGGTGGATGGAGCCTTCCTTGCAGAATTGCAAGGGGAGCTGGCAGGGATCCAGGACAACCTGTCAGCACAAGCAGCAGTGAGGTGATGAGTCAGCAGAGGCACTGTGTGTCTTTGCGCTCTGCTGCGGCACTGCTCACTCACAACCCTCCCGGACACAAGTCTTGGCTCTGACCTTGAAAAATCTCCACAGCTCCTGCTCATCCTTATGAGGGAGGATGTGTCCATCAGTGAACCTGAAAATGTGGAGCTGCCCTACAGAAGCTAATAATCCAAGGTAGAGAGGCTCTGTGTGATTTGAGGATTATGTCAGGCTTAACCTGAGAACAAGGCTGGCAATTTTGCAAAGCAATTCATTAACAAGTCATATTAACTGCAGGGTTAAAGCTATTTTAAAATTGCATAATTTCACTGCATCTGTGCCACACTGCATTCAGCACATCCCCAACATGATAGCTGCACACAGAAAATTCCAGCAGATGCTATATACACTGTGATTACATACAGTAAGACAAAATTATCTAGGTTTCAGAAATAAGATATTCACACTGAAAGGACACCAAAGTGGCCAGTCGTGTATTCAGGTATTTGTCTTCATTCTTCACACTGCTTTTTTAATAAGAAGAATTTAAATGGCTCCCTCTTGTGTCAAGAAAAATGCAGTATCAAGTTTGGCAAAAACTAGCTCTTGAGCAGTAATTAGAATTTATCTATCTTTATACTGCAGAGTCTAGTTATCAGTATGGTGTGTGACTGAGGAGACTGAACACAGGTATCCCTTGCTGCTCAGGTGCTCTTTGAAAGTACCTGAAAGAAATACCATAAACAGTTACCTTTCAGCTGCATATGATGAAGGTTAGGAAAAATAGTTTGTGAACCATATGCATTGCATCTCATCTAATTTGCTAATGAGGTCTAGACTAGATAGATATCTTGTCTTGGAGATCCTTGTCCTTAAATATCTGTAACATCTCAGCACAGAATATGTGGTTTAGCATAGCTTAATTTACTTCTGGTGTTTTTCACAGGTGAGCAAATCTTCATCTTGCAAGGGGTAGAAAGAAAGCAAAGAACTCTGATGGAAAGCTCTGAGCATGCAAGAGTCAGTGAATGGCAGTGAGGAAGCAAAAAATCTGATTTCAGCAACCCTGCAAAAATTCTTTCCTTTTTTCTAGTACCTACTTGCTGATAAAGTTTTTGTTCTGGCTTTTGAATCACTAAAGCCTTCTTCACAATAATTAATACCCATAAAACTCTGAAATACAGAACTGAGGTTTTTTTTCCTCTGCATAGCATGGGGCATACTTTGCTAACTTTGGGTATTAAATAATAATCTTGGAATAAACATAGAAGAGGAAAAACTTCAAGAGGCAAATAAAATGTGTGTGTGTGTACACAGGAAATACCTATAATACCTTTTGAGAAAGCAGGTCTGAAAAGGTTTGTTTCAAGGAAAAATACTTCAGTTCTGTGGTTTCTCAAAAAATCTCTTCCTGCATAGTTATGACTTAACAAAACCAAAACAACCTAAACAAAAATAAACTAGGCCCACTTCAGAGTGGGACTAATCATACTGATGACTGGAGAGGTTGATAAAGCTACTGTGCAGACAATTATCTTGAGATAATCTCAGTTTATCCTGATTCAGAAGTCTGGTGATACACACATAGGAGGCTATGTTTTCTAGCTTGAAGGTGAGGCTTTAAAATACCGTATTCTGAATTCTGCTGTAGTCCTTTATCCTTTTTAAAAAGTCTTTCCTGTTACAGCCTTACAGGTTGGTAACAGAATGAATGAAAATATGACTTCCAAGATCAAATTATGTATGTTTTTCAAATCTAGGACTTTGTATTCTCTTCCAAATAATTTCTTCTTACTTTGCATACAGAGAGACTTACAACTTGTTCACAGAGAGGAAAAAATTACTATGGTGCACAGAACAATCATTCAGTATCTTGGAGTTTCTTGTTTAAGGGTCTCTATAGTGGCACCCCATAATCCATTTCAATACTTCAGAGAAGAATTGATGAGAGTAGACTTAACTGAAGAGAAACTGAAAGTGTTTATTGAATCTAAAGTGTGTACTTAGGTGCAAAACTGCTGTTTGGAAAAGACCTCATTAGCTGCCACCTGGGACTAGATACATCTAAACTGAGAAATACTCTATTTATCCAGCCATGCAAAGTTACTTTTCCAAACACAACTAACATCATGATCTTAATGGAACGGAGCTACCTGCCTCATATTCCAAACCTGACAGGACAGGATGAGGTAACTGGGCATTTCATTACCTTTTTTTTTTTTTAGGTATTTATTCCAAAATTGATTGGAAGGTACTTATAAAAAGATTGAGTTGCACTATATATGTACACACATAAAAGTATTTTAAAAATCACATTTTTTTCTTAAATATGGTCACAATTACTCTTGATTAATAGTCTAGTGGCTGGGGTACCTGCCTGGAACAGGATTCTCAGATGAAGAGCATTTCATATCCTTCTCCCTGAGTTATGTGCTTTTTTCTCTCCTGGGTTAATTCCAAACTGTGGACTGTTCTTGAAGAGAGGTGCCCTTGGGAGTCTTTAATAGCTTGTGTGGAGAAAAGAATAAAAAAAAATAGATTGATCAATAAAGTTAATGAGCTGTATTTTCAGTGGTAAAATCACCCCAAGTTAGGCTTTAGACACCTAGTGCCAACATTAAGTCAGTGTAGGTGTATATTTCCAGTCAGTTTGCACTCTTTCCAGTTTAAGTGTGCCTTGTGAGGTATTGGTGTATCTAAAATGGAGCCACTACAAATTTATTTGATACTTACATCTGTTTCAATGCTATAATACAAATTATTGTAAGAGGCAAAAGTCAATCTCTTTAGAGGTGGAAAACTTTGAAAAGCCATTGTTTTCTTCTTGACACAAAATAAAGGTAGATGCTTTCATGCTGACCTTATTTGTTTTTCCTTTGGGTGATATTTCCTCTAGCCTCCACTATGGCTAAGGTTTTATATACTAGAAATTGAGTGAGACTAATATTAGAAAGCATTTCCCAAAGAAACCTCAGGCCAGTACTCTTGACACTTTTCAGAAAGAAAATTAGGTTTGTGGTTTCTTAGTACGCTTTTGTGCCTCGTTTCGGCTTAACCTCAGGCAATGAAATGCAAATCCTCAAACAAGGTTTGGACGTGCAATTTGATACTTCTTCCTTGTGTATGCAGGATTTTGGTAAGCAAACAACAGGTATGTGGATTTAAACAATTTTTCCTTCTGAGAGAAGAGACTGATGCAGACTTTGTTCTGCATCTACATCACAGCAAACGTCACTATTTTATGTACAGGCAGTACCATCATCAGTAAGGACCAAGTGTCCTGTGACTTGTGTCTAACTCTTAGAAGCGAATGCTCTAGCCTGACTTAACATCATTGAGCTTTTGTGTGAGTCATACAGCTGCCAGGTGGTTGAAATGCACTGCAGCTTATTCCTAGACCTTACAATAAGCTTACAATATATACCAGAGCAAATATTTACAGCCTTAACGGACTGCAAGATAAAAAAAAAAAAAATCTCGCGGTATTTATTTATGCCACACATAAATATCTTTCTGGTAGGCACTGTGAGTTCACCAGTTCCTGTAGCTTAACTACATAATGTTTCTTTAAATAAACCCACTGCGATCTCGCTCACTGAAACAAAAAAGTGAAGGTTTATATATAAGCAGCTTCCCCCTGCTGCCTCCTGTGCCGCTGGCTTTCCAGGCCCTCCCCTAAGCAAAGCACTTGAGCGGATGTTGCATAATGTGATTATGGGCTGCTCCGAACCGAGGAACGTGGCCCACTTGCGGCGTGCTACACACGGCTGCCTCTGTTCTTTCGTTGAACAGAAACTGTGATGCTGCTTTTATATTCCTGGCAGCTGTCAATTGCTAAAGCAGAAGATTAGGGAATTGGGGCTTTTTTTCTTTTTTTTGGTACTGAAAACCTGTATTGCTTCCTCCCTCTTATGCCTTCAGCTCTGAAGGAGATGATTATTTCCTCTGTCTGATCCCAAAACGCCACTGTAACTCACATTACAGTAATTTGCGCGTATATGTAAGCAGGATTTTAAAAAATTCAGCCTCGAAAGCGTATGTACGCGGCGTATCTACCGCGGAGGGAACATGGCGGTGAGATCCCGACTCGTCTCCAGCACCAGCCGCATTCGCCATCAGGGGTGAACTACGCTCCCTCTAGCTCCTCATCGCCGCCCCCAGGGTGGCCGCTGTGCCGGGGGTGCCACAGCCGGGGCTGCCGGCGGCCCTGGCCCTTCAGAGCCCCTCACGTTCCCGGCCCCTCAGAGCCCCTCGCGGCGGGGCTGCGCAGGCGCGGCGCGCGCTGTGTCGCGGCGGGCGCGCGGGATGCGGG